CACACACCAACACATACACACACACACACCAACACATACACACACACACACACACACACATACACACACACACGTACAAACACGCACCCCTCTACACACACTCAAGTGCGTACGGACAAGTAGTCTAACAGGCGTGGTACGGGGGCCACTGTGTTATCAATCATGAATGGTGACGCACGACACTCGTTCACGCCAGAGAGAAGTTGTGAATATTGAATGGTCACCTTGTAAAATGGCGGCGCCCGCCAATGCATTAAACATGGTAGCAAAGAACAGCATCGGTGATGCTGCGATGGTTATCAGAGCTGACAGAGGAAGAATTATTTACGTGACCGGGGAAAACGTCATCATCGTTTCGCTCCTTGGAGATGGTGCTCCCTTTACTGGTGGCTTGGGGATTTTTTTAAAACCTTTATTGTTCCTTGTTTTACAAAAAAAAATTGTGATTTTTTTTACCTGCTGAAGGGGTTTTTGGTTTGTTCAGGGGTTTCTAGATCTAGAATATGTGGGCTTATGGCACAAACGTATTTTTGTTTTTTTCAACTTTACGTGTTCCTTGTTTTATATTATTTTTCGTTTGTTTGTAGAACATAAGATCAGATTGTGTAGGTTCTTTTAAACCCCTTTATATACAGCCTCCTGTTTTGCACGATGTAGACATGATTGCAATAAGTATAACATTTTTGTTTAGAAGTTTGCATCTGGAGATCTATTTCTGGTTGTATGACAAATAGTATTTTCCCTCATTTTCTTATAGTGCTCTGCATCTTTAGTTGGGGAAAAGTCTAAAATTAACCACGGTAACACAATACTCAAAATTCTAAAACTATCAGAACTTTTGGAGCACTAAGCATAGAAGCTTTGCTGTAAATGATACGTTAGTAACCCGGCAGAAGTTTTCGATGATTGTCGCAGTTTTTCCTTCAGTGTGAACGCTACTGTTTATATGTGCAAACACAACTAAGATAGCATTTATTTCATCTTCTATATTTATAGTAGAGGGTTTTACGGCGCTCACAACTGCATATGGTCACATGAGCGCCATATTTCATCTTTGATGTGATTGGGATTGTTGTTTTTTTTGTTGTTGTTATTGTTTCCAACCTTCAACTTTTAAAGAAAAAAATGATAAATGTGTGTTTAACTTATATCCTGTTAATCTCTTTCATGCTGACACCAAACTTACATTCTTCCTTTTCTATTTTTACTTGCAGAGTGAGGATTTGACGCCATCATTCTTGTAGTTCTCCTAACCCGTAGTTGCCACCGCTAACCCACTCACCAGAAACCTCAAGGTCTTCTAATACTCTTCCTGGACGATCTGTCAACAACGGACCGGGAGACACCCATTTGCTTCATATGGACTTTTCTCACTTACTCACCTAGCATACTAACCCACCAACAGGCTTGCTTTGTCTGGACATATCGGAGTATAAACTACTGGCTCGCCATCTTGCTCGGAGTATTTTTTGCCTTGTGTAGCATGAGGAGAAATATATCCGGTTATTCTGTCGTGTGGCCCGCTGTCACATGATCTCTTCTCTTCTTGTGTACACGTGTACGCAAGAAGTGCTGACGTCACATCACGACGTCTGCTGAGTAAATTCTGTGTAACTCTGAGCAAATTTTGAATCAGCAGCTTGTCGTGTTCTTTAATTACTACACAACGTTCTTCTCCACTTCCCTTGATATAGCCACTTCTTTGTAGGCCCAGTGCAACCCAATCGAGCAGTTTCCCTTTTCAAGTGTAGATTGTGTCCTTCAGACAAGCTTGTCTCGCCATTTCTTCCCGTCCAGCCAACCACTGACGGCAACAGTCCAAGTTAACGGACTAACAACTAACACCTCGACAACGTCTTTCCACCTCCGGACACCAGTTTGTCCAAATTTCTCATATATCACCCACTAACAACTCGATATATGAGTGGCTACTAACATCGCCCACCACCCCAAAAAACTCGATTCATAAAAGGTATTCCTTTTAAATTTTTTTCTTGTAGTTGATCCACGTACGGCCTCAAAATTTTCTACCCAAGCTTCGACCCGAGGGACGCCTACCGCTCCTCCAAGATGATGATGCTGGAGCCAGAGATGAAGCCTCCCATCCTGCACCAGCCGCCGCCGCAGACGTCTCTGCCCCCGGTGTCCAGCGCGCCGGGCGGCGGTCACGTGGGCTCACACCCCCACGGCATGCATCCGCAACAGACGTCACCCAGACCTGGATCTGGCGGTCATAGCGGACACACAGAACTGCCCCAGACGAATCACGGAGGCGGTCAGGGAGGAGGCGGTGGGGGACCCCCCAACGGAGGCAGCCCGACCAACAACAACAACAACAATAACAACTCGTCCAACTCTAAGAACAACATGGATCTGAGCCGCGTGAAGAGGCCGATGAATGCCTTCATGGTTTGGTCGCGCGGACAGAGGCGCAAGATGGCGCAGGAGAATCCTAAGATGCACAACTCTGAGATCAGTAAGCGTCTAGGCGCAGAGTGGAAGCTTCTAAGCGAAGCGGAGAAGAGGCCTTTTATTGACGAGGCCAAGAGGCTGAGGGCGATCCACATGAAGGAGCACCCGGACTATAAGTACAGGCCACGCAGGAAGACGAAGACACTGATGAAGAAGGACAAATACGCCATTCCAGGCATGGCCAACCCGGCAGCCATGGGTCAAGTGGGCCGTGATCCGTCCTCTATGTACCCTGGACACATGAACAACTACATGTCCAACGGCTACGCGCACATGATGGACCCGAACGCCTACCACCAGCACATGGCCGGCCAGCTACCCGGTCTGGCAGCCGCCCAGTACTACCCGAACTTCTCCGCTCAAGCTATGCAAGGCCAGGTCACGTCAGGCTCCTACATGAATGGTGCCAACAGCTACAACATGACCATGGCCCAGATGGCGCCCTACGCAGCCCACAACATGTCGCCCACACCCCAGGGCGGACTCCCCAGCACGCCGGGCATCAAACGAGAGTCGGGAACGCCCACTCAAGGTGGAGGACCTCCCCCTAGCAACGCGGCGCCCGCCCACACCGGCTCCAGCAAATCGCCCTACCCGCCCGCCACGCCCGGCCAAGCGGGCTCGGAGATACGTGAGTTCATCTCTATGTACCTCCCGCCCGGCCAGAGCGAGCACGGCCTCTCCAACGACCAGCACAGTGCCGCCTTCGCCGCCGCCGCCGCGCAACAACGACTCCACCAGATGCAGCAGCAATACGGCGTCGGGGTGAACGGCCACCACCTGCCGCCAACATCCTCAGACAACAGCACAGTACCCTTGTCGCATATGTAGTAGAAGACGCACCATGCTACATGCACGCACACACACAAACCTACACATAGCAAACACGCACGCACGTCCCTCCTGCAAACTACTACACAAACCACGTCATCATCATCATCTCGAGGACTCGAGAGCATAGTGTCAGCTCGACGTCACAAGAAAACCACATAAGAACGAGCATTTCAGGGGCGGGCGCTGTTTCGCTGCCTGCCCATGAACAAAGAAGACGTAACAAGAAAGTCACCCCGAACCGGACTCTGACGAAAAGAGTAACAGAAAACCCCCCAGCTCACCCATCATCATTCTACATGATTGTATAACCGATCTTCACAACCGTCTCATGATTGTATATATTTATATACACCACCAACAACATTTACCATTATACTATTTCTCTTTCTTTTGTTGAAATGTGTTTAAACGTTGTTGGACTTGTACAGAAATCGCATTCTTGATGTCCGAGCCGCTATGTGGGGAACCGAATATCTCGTTGTGTGGTTCTCGCGTCCTGACACAACTCACGGGCGACTGACTCTATCTGTCTCTTCTGTGGAATTTCTACGTTGTATACTCGGCTCACTCCACATGTCCACTCTCCCTCCCACTCTCAGAAAATTGTTGAGGGAGAGGGTGGGTGAGAGATGGGGATGGGAGTATCAGTAGTAGTGGCTTCTCGCCAATCTTTAACATGATGACTTGCAGTGTTTGCAGAGGGCGTAAAACCCACCACCATCACACAACAGCAAACTATAGGGCCTTCCTTATATGACAAGCCAGGTCGGTTGTCCTGCTCTCACCCTGAGAGAATCGACGGGAGCCCTCCCTCCAATCCTCCCTCTCCCCGACCTTGCGGTGGGTGAGTCCTGGCGAAATATGGCCCCTACCCGACCGTGTGGGCGGTGAACAACATCTCTGGACACCCAAACAACGACCCAGGCGACGGAAAGTGTCTTGAGAGGGTATACCACGCGCGCCGCTCCACGGGCATGTTATCGCAGCTCTCTACGTGAGCGACTGCAAGCGGGGCATCTACTGACCCCCGCCACCACCAGCATATTAATCTACATGGCGTAGGTAGGCTCTGGCCGTCTGGCTCTACGGTCTGAAACCTGGGAGAACCAGAGGCCCAGATAGCTTTTCACCTCGAACATTCGGACACTGCCCATACATTCTGGCGCCTGACGTCATCGTGATGTCATCTTTTTCAAGTCTACGTCTGACCAGGTGGATGTCCTGTGGCCTACCTATGACCAGCAGTCAGTGAAGTGCACATTCCCCTTCTAAAACTCTCCTTCAAAGAAAAAACAATATTTCCCTGTCTTTACAGCTTTTTGGGGGGTTAAAAATGTTTGACCTAAAGAAACTCAAATCTTGATAGATATTGTGGATATTGGGTTCCATGGTACTACTAGCTTGCTGCTCACTATGTCTGCTTGGCATGACCTTGTCAGCACATTCAGCAAAAGCTGGCCTCGTATTGCTGTGTTACGTGCGAGTGTCTATGCGTTTCTTTAAGGTGGCGTTGTCTGGTAGGAACCTTGCATATCACACTCTAAGTGGCACTATCAATGCTAGGGAAATTGAAGTAGACTAAGGCACTGTTCACACCACTGGACATGACGTGGTTTTTTTCGCCAACACAATGATCTCGAGATATAATAAAAACATGGTATTTACTTTTTATATTCTGTTTCGAGCGTCCCCTTTCTGGGATCTTTTTTCTCTTCGTTGTTGAGTTTTTAAAAAATTCCATTTTGTTTGTTTTAAGTGTGGAATCTTCTTTGCCATTCCAAACGCCGCCGTGTTGTTAGCGTGCGTTTGTGCTTTCTACGTAATGTGTCGTGATGAAAAAAGTATATGCTCACGTTAATCGCTATTGGGAACAATTGTTATAAATCTTTGTAGGGTCAAAGCTTTAGTCCCACGTTCTGACGGGAGTCCCCCCCCCCGCACCTACCCCCGACACACCCACCCCGTCCCCACCTGCCCCTACCACCCAGAGACACCCAGAGACTGAAAGAGGGAGAGAAAAAGATGGGGGAATTGGGATGGGGGAAAGTGAGAGAGGAAGAGATGATTTTAATGTCTTCTTACCCTTAGTGGGCTGTCTGTAACCTGTCATAAAACAATTCAATCTGTAAGGTGGGGTATGATTTTCCTTGTACTTTTTCAAAGCCTCTAGGTATTTGAAGTTAATAGTTTGTCAGTTTTCCTCCACGTTCATATAATTTTCATTTTACTGCTATGTCTTTGTACACGAATTCTATCGACGCAGATGACGTGAAGACGTTAGGAAAGCAGACCATTGAATGACAAAACCACCCCCCCTCCTCCTTTGAAGAAAGGCTTCTCTATAGTGATAATGAAGCTATTTTCTTTCCTGGAAGATTCTGATGAAGAACTTCGTAGAGGTAGTCGAAATCCAGATAGAGGCTGACAAAGTGTCACATACTAGGTGCTATTTTCATTCCAGCTCATTGTAATCCTCATCGCTCGTCGCAATTAATTTTTAAATAATAACTCATTGTTTCTCTTCATTTCTGCGGTATACAGCCGTTGTATTTTTTAATTTTTATTTCATCCATTCAAATTAACGACGCAAGCAACAGACATGCTGTCTTATACTTTTACACATAATATATTATATATTTTTCAACTGAGTTATTTTCTACGGCCATATTATAATTGCTTAGATAGGACTTAGGTCTACATTTCCCCTTTATCCGCACAGACGTTAAAATACAAGTTGCCATAAGAGTGTCAAAATCTATTGCATCGTTCGTCCCACTATGTAATCCGCGTAAAGTAAATTCTGTTATTCATTTAGGCGTTCTGCAGTTGTTGTTTTTATCTATCCAGAGACGTCCCTCAGATAAAGTCATTTATTTTATTTTTTTGGGGTCTTCGTTTGACACTTAATTTCAGTCTGATTCTTATGTATTACCCTCG